ATTTGTTCAAACTAATCTTGTTTAAATAAAGAGAACGAAAAGTCCATTAAATAAATATTATATCAACGATTACAAGTCTTCTCTCTGTATAAGATATTTTATCATTATTCTTCAGATCTAATTTTTACTACATTTTTTGTCCGGATTTAATTGGGCTCTTCATCTAAAGCACTTTAAAATATTACAGATATGTTTTTGAACAAGTGACTGTAGTCATTCAAACGATATCTTTGTCTAAATGAAAAAATGCAAGCATCAACTGTGCATAAAAAAGGGCATCAATTTTCTTTACAGCGAAAAAACTTCCAAGATAGGAACTTTTATCACTTCATGGGGGTCACTCAGGTTTGCCATCTGCTAGACCTTTATAGATACGTTTACCTTGAAGTTTAAACTTTTAACGTAACACAGACATCAAAGTATCCTTACTTAAGTTTGTTCAGATGAAGGGTCATATATTTTAGATAATCAAAAATTGGTCAATTTTGGTAGGATCATATAAAAATGTTCTGTTGCACAACTGCGCCAAAAATCACGAATCAGTAAAGACATGTACTGTTATAATATTTTCATATGAAATAGATTCGTACTTTTCAACAGAAAGTCCCATGTGGTAGAAATTGGGAATCAGAAAGGGTCGAGAAATTTACATTGAAATTTATCGGGAATGCATGTAAGATTTTTCTCAAGAATTTCAAAGCTCCAACCTGCAAATACCTCCACATGGTGGAGAGTTATTTTTCTTATATACTAATTGCCATTGGTCCTAAGTGGGCCACGAAAGAAGTTCAAAATCTATCAAAGAAAAAGCTTCACTCGAACTTGTTCAGAGCAATATGGAAGTTAGTTATATACAAAATGTTGAATCTACAGAAGCGTATTAGTGCCACGTAATGATTTTTTTTAAAGTTGGTAATTTCAACTTTAAGTTGGTACGTTAAAGTTGAAAGCCAACTTTAAAGTTAGTTCTTCCAACTTTGAAGTTGGTAATTCCAACTTTAAAGTTGAAAATTTTAACTTTAAAGTTGGCTTTTCCAACTTTAACGCAGGAAAAGCCAACTTTAAAGTTAGTATAATGTAATTCCAACTTTAACCTAGCTTGGCTTTTCTTACTTTAATTTGAGCTTTTCTAGCCCTTTTCCTTAGCTTTTTCCTTTATTTTAAATTATTATCATTCTTATTAATGCAAACTTAATACACTGAAACAAATTGGTGAGCAATTAAACTGTGTCAATTATTTTTTTTACCTTGACCTTTCCTATGACCTTACATATAACTTCCAACTTTAAAAGCCCTTATATTTCCTTTTGGTCCGTCTTCTATAATTTTACAGAGAGTAACTTCATACAACTCCGTACATGACAGGATTTCAACAAACCTATTTAGGAGATCAGACATATATTTGTTTTTATGAGAAAAAAGCTTTAACAAATGAGACCATTAAAAGGTGTTTTATATATATGTAAAGGATGAATCATGACTATATTTCATGCTAGAAATACAACTGAAGTAAATGTATTAATTCTGTACAATGTATATGAAAACACAATGAAATCCAGCTACAAATTATCTGAATATAACACAATATAAAGCCGTGCAAAGATGGAAAAGTCAACTTTAAGATTGAAATAACCAACTTTAAAGTTAGAAAAGCCAAGATTAAAGTTGGAATTACCAACTTTAAAGTTTGAAAAGCAAACTTTAAAGTTGGAATTACCAACTTTTATATATTAAAAAAAAAACCGTGGCACTCATCCACTGACCTCTTGTTTATGACTTTTTATTTATCAGTGAAAGGATAATACTCAATATTTATGCTTTATATTGAGTAACTATGATAAATTTACTAACTTTTTACTGTTTAAATCAGTCGCCCGCGTGGTGCAGTGGTTAGAGCGTTTGCTCTAGAGTCGCGGAGTAAGGAGTTGATCCTTACGTCGCAGATTCGAATCCCATTGCGGGCCCTGGAGACCGGTCCTTCGGATGAGACGTATATACCGAAGTCCTGTGTCGTAGTAGATCCCTCATGGCTCAATGGCCCTGAGTGCCGAGTATAGGTCAAAATTTGCAGCTCTCCACCCGCAAGTAGTGGCGTCTCCATATGAGTGAAAAATTCTCGAGAGGGACGTTAAACAACAACTGTTTAAATCATAAATTGAAGGGAACATTCAGACCATGAGACAAACTTTTCTTATTCCGTTTTAAGAAATCCTTTGGGAATTTTGTTTTTCAAAAACCTTGCATATTTTTTTTTCTTGTTATTTCAAAACAAGATGAGGAAGCATTTTCAACGTTCAAATACATTATTTATATTATCTTCCAGAATTAACAATAGTAAACAAAGAAAACATACAGATTTTCAGTGAATAACTATATTTTTCCTCATTCTATTTTATTCTTCTTGTAATATCATAAAATGGAAACAAACAATCGAAATGCGTTAATACCTAACACCTGAAGCGCAATGGTACTACGTAAAGTGCTGTCCTCTAATGGTGTACCGTTGGTTAACGATGTATATTGTACTAGTAACAATAATCAGTGTTGATCAAAGAGAATTTTGCTCACAATGAGCACAGACACTATTGAATACTTATGTGTTGGTAAGCATGTTTCCACAATTAACGTCCAGACGCCAAAACGTCTCTTTATTTATTCAATTATTCATGGTTATACTGTTCTAAAGAGTATTACAGAGGTCAAACATAGTTAATTAATGATTGATTTCTCACAGTTTAGTGAGTACCCTGATTTAACTGCATTTTCCAGGTAGTTTATTGATGAGTTTCGACCTCTCAAATACTTGTGATGCAATACCGGGATATAGACATGGACAAAAAGTAAATGATGGTGGCAAATAAAAATGTTCTTCATGCATGTATTTAATAACAAGTGACTTTTTCAGATAGATTTTCCGTGATTTTTTAAATATACATAATTAATATGTAGGAATTTTCGAATTACATAATTACAAAGCGTTTTAATTCACAGAGAGAGAGAGAGAGAGAGAGAGAGAGAGAGAGAGAGAGAGATTTTTCAACGATTAAATTATACCACGGGATTGGTTGATAATATTTTCTTTGCAAAACTGTACATGTAACTTCTGTGAATATTTTGAATATAATTACACATCTTAATTTAGCTTTGAAAAGGAGGATATTTGAGAAAGATGCAAGTTTCACAGTTCCTCTTCATAATCATTGATACAGCTAGATATTAAAAATGTGTACTTATAATTTTGTATTCAACGGTATGTCAGATTTTTATTTTAACAACATCTATAATTGACCACTATTTGATTCATATTAAATTATTACACCTTACATTATTTTTAAAATATTAGTTCATATAAACTTCTATTTTACATGTATTTATTTTATATACTTGACATATAAAATGAAAAACAAAGGCGACGCATATGATAATAAATATTAATTCAGCAATTATTAAGTAAAGATTTATCATTTGCTTTTAAGACACCTTTTTTTTTTTTTACATAAAATGTCATTATTTGAAGACCTGACCCTAAATCTATAAACTAAAAAAAGTACTAAAGCCAAAATTTCAAATTCGTATTTCTGTTTTCTGCCCTCTTCACAGACTTGCATTGTTATAGATTTTTTGAGATCGATCACTGTTCGTTATCTTTACCTTCTTCATTTTGAAATAAATCTGATAATGAAATTTTCATCATGTGTTCATATTTTTAAAAATATTTAAACTTGGAATTTCCTATGCATATTTGTGAAACAAAATTTTCGATATTCAAGATCTAAATTTTACTGAAATCTGTCGTCGGTTTATGGTCTTCGAGCTTGGTGAACAATGGCCTGAGATTATTCACCCAATGTCTCTTATTTAATAAACTTTGTATAATATTGATACGTCAACGTAATGTGAAAATTTTTGCATTTGACTAATGAATTTACACAAATTATTAGATAATTCATAGATACAAACAATCATTTTTGTTACAAAATATAATTGCGCAACATATTGTTTGAAATAAAATCTATGTATAAACTAAGTGTGTGGCATTTTATTGTTTGGGAAGTTATCAGGGGCCTTGCAAATGCAGTTTGGGTGAGGAATATCTAGATTGTCAGATCAGACATTCTGAGAGGTGGGTAGATGGAATAATGATGAAAGAAATTAAAGAGTGTGTTATTTATGTAATAATAATCAAATTGGAGACGAATTTCATTACTTACTGGAATGTAATGTATTATGTAATATTTAGAAAGCTTTTTTGTTACAGAAATACTATGTACATCCAAATATTACATTTGTATAAAATTTTGTAATTTAATGACGAATACTGATCAAGCATTCTTAAGAAAATTATATATATTTATCACCAAAATTTTTGACACTGTCTGTCCTCCTGTAATCTCTGATCGTCCATAATTATTGTAAATATGTATATATGTACCTCTTGTACCATTCATATGGTTTTTGAGAGAATAAATGAATGAGAGGAGACATTCTGGGTAATCCTTGTTTGTAATATACTAGTACTTGTATATATATATATATATATATATATATATATATATATATATATATATATATATATATATATATATATATATATATATATATATATATATATGATGTTGCCACCAATTATTAATGCCTTGCTTAGTAATTAATTACTCTTAATATTTCGTTTCTCATTTCGTGCTTGATGAACATTGAATGTATAGCAAAAACAGTTTCATGATGTTTGGTTTTTAAGGGCACTTGAGTAAGTGATCACTGTTTAACACCTTCCAGGATTTCAGCATTGAGGAAGCTAAGATCGTTTATAATTTCATTTGTCCATGATTTATGGTAATCGATAGAAAAACAAATGCAAGTTTATTTGGACCCCTTAATTAGTATTTGGCTGGTCTAGTTATAAATGCGCATCTTAGTTGGTATGGCACAAAAAAAGTAAAAGGGCGAAAATGCTCCCAATGGTTCTATAATCAATTGCAAAAGTGAAGCGAGCTTCTATTGGTTAGGATCGACCCGTTGGGAGAAAGCCGCGGTATCGAAGGTTGGACTTCAAGACAGTTTTCTTGAGCCGAGTTTTTCTTCACACAGTTTAGCAATGACATCGATAGATGTATGAAATATAATGATTGGATTACTGGAGTTGGATTTCTTTGGTTTAGTTTTGGGGGTCGTCACGCACTTGCCAGCAGTCAGAGGTAAGTTTTGCAATAACTTTCTGCAAGGTTACGTAACTTAGATACAGAAGCATCCCAAAAGGTTTTCTTAATATTGGTCCTTATGTGCAAATATTGTGCTCTTATTAAAATTCTTATAGACTTTTGACATTTTTGAAATATAGAAATCCAATTTCAAGCTAATGAAGGCAGGCCTCAGATTTGTTTTGGCCTGTGTTTGTGTATGCATGGGTCAATTTTGAAAAATTGAAATTAGTATACTGTCAATATACAAAAAGCCTCGGGGAAATAAATTTAATCGGTGAGCATGTCGGAGATTGTTGGTTCTCCTACCGTCTTATTTGCTTACAATTATGGTAACGACCAAGCGTCGTTTTCTGTATTGATATAAAATATCAAATGATGTTCAAATGAACATGTCAGTCATGTCTCTAACCTTTCAGAAGAAGGTACGTGAATTTATGAGGCCTCATTGTAGAAACACATCAAAGGACTATTGTTCGCAAGAGAACTCATTATCCAATATGTAGTCCAATTACGTAAATTTATTGCCTTATAAAATTTTAATTTGACGTAAGTCTTAACATAAAATAAGAGCTTAATAGTTGATACTTAAGATGCAAGAAATCATTAGTAATGTTTCGTTCAAGTTCATGGAACTCCGTAAAAGATTTTGAAATAGGTGCTCTCAGTGCTTGGTAAATGACTTCTTATAAGTCAAATCAAGCAATATGTAGTGCAGTAGATTGTACATAATACACCGGAATAATGGAGACATTGTACATTGTAACAGACAGATTCACTATATAGATAGTGTTTCATCGCTTATGAAGCCTTTCTACTCTCTTATCGTAGATCTATTACTAAATGTTAGCACATTACAGTGACTCTGTATCATTTAATAATTTTCCATAGGTTTCCATATATGCTGTTATACTATCACCGAAACAATAAAATTACTGATCGGCGCGACAAACGATCGCCGGGGAAAATTCCCCTTTTAAAAAAGTTAATGACTTATCAATAATTATCACTGAAGGGGTAAGAAAAGAAGGCGATTCATTCTTTGAAAATAATCAAATAAATTCAGAATTAACGAGATAGATTAGACTCGGAAAGTATCCACGATATTTTATGGCAGTATAATTCATTGATATTGATGTAAATCTTCTATTATAAAATTTTATCAAATTTCAATAAGATAATTGATTTCTGCGTCATCAAATGGACTGCTGTCATATATTCTTTCATATATTAGGTGACCTACATAAATTTGTCCTGAATTTAAAAATCGTATCAGCAAAAAAAATCAATTCACTTTCTTTAGTGTCATGCTATATTCTGATTTGCATGGGGATTTCAAGATTTCAGTCAAATAAATTCATTTGAAAGTGGATTTTAAATGTTTCTGCTACACTTTCAAAATCATTCATTTTTAGAGTATGCTGGATATAATTTTAGATTGAAAGAAAACGTATATAAAAACAGAATCAAATATATTCTAAGAATCGGTGAATAGTTTTGAAATAAATCTTACCTTTAAAAATAAATATAACTAAATGCGCAAATACATGTAGGAATCTGTGTCCCAGAAATTTGCTTAATGTAATATTTGCGCTTAAAACTTGTGATACGAGCAGGAAGTCATCACAGGTGCACAGAGAGAGAGAGAGAGAGAGAGAGAGAGAGAGAGAGCGAGAGATTTCTTGTGCTTTCAAACGAATTTTGAGAGTTAGTTTAGGTGTAGAAGTCAGTTTTATTAAATTTCAAATTGATTCATTTCTGTTTTGTTTACCATTCAGATAAACCACAGTAAATTAGTGATTAGTGAAGATGCATGTCACTGAAGGAAAACAGTATACAATGTATCACGATATTGCCGAGTAAATCATGATATACATGTATCATATATCGAGATTTTTAATTTACTTGTTTCTCCCTGATTGCTTTTAGATTTTAAGGACGAAAAATTTAGATTTCAGCATTTCCTTTTCAAAAACGTCCGATTCTAATATTTCAATATTTCGTACTTTCTAAAACCAATTTTAAATTTAAAAAAAAAAGATTTCAGTTTTACTTCTTAATTGCTAGAAAAATTGACTTTCAATGATTTTAGTCATATTGTTTACGCAAATACTTTAAATTTAAAATCAAAACATGCACATAAAATACTTCCGGAAAGTATCTGAAAAACTCGATACTTCAATCATTTATGTATCAGTTCGACCCCCTTTACATTACAATACATCAATGTATCTGTGCATTGTTACACCCCCCTATAATTTACATCCGAATGCAGGTGTTTTACTATCATTATTGTACACATGTTCTTTTATTAGCACTGTTGCATTTTGATATTGCAGCTACAAAAATTTAAAACCTAAGAATTAATATTTGCTAAACAAATTGATTTCAATGAAATTATCCCAATGGAAACAGATCAGTTCCAAGAACAAAACATATCAATATCTATTTTTCTCCCATCTGTCAATTGGCTAGGCGATTACCTGTTTAGAGCACCTAAAATCCCCATCCCGCCTAACCTAATTCTCTTTACAATAACAATATAACACACAAAACAATTCATTATACAAAGGTGAGACATGATGGTTGAAACTGGTGTATTTAGGGAACGTCAAGTGTGCTAACGAGCTAAATATATAGATTTTACAATTATTCCTGAGCGTTAATTGAATATTTGAAATCTTCTTTTGAGCAGATCTTGCTCTACGCGCGCTTCTGCGTCAAATGCACTGTAAAGAGTGACGAAAGGCGATCGAGGATATTGAGGAATCTTGGCGTATTTTTACGTCGTAATTGCTGGTCTAGAGCATGCCACACGGAAACTCTGGGTTTGTACGTCAAGTTTCTCGGTAATATTAAGCGCTCGATTGAACGGTCAATTGATAATAGGCGCGAGAGACGGATGGTTGAAAAATGATTCTGAAACAAATTGGTCTTTGCAGGGTGGTAAATTAAAAGAAAAATTGTGATGGGAGAAACCAATAATATACAAATCAAAATAATTTATATAATATTTGATAGCATAACATTTTGTTGACTTATTAATTTGAGCTGTCCGAATCAGAACGATTAATTCGTGCGTTTATCATTATTCGATTTGACTTTTTTCTTATCAAAGGGGCCTGGACACAGATCTATATTTGTTCCAATGAAGCTTTGCATAAAAATTATATATTTTCACAAAGCTTCCGTATAAGAGGGTTTCATATAATTGTTGGAGAAAATACAATAGCTAAAGCGACTGAATGGATTGAAGACTCGGATGAGCTGCCATCAGCATCGGTGTGGCATTGTGTCAAGTTTGAAAACAAACTGGGATCACTATGGCTTCTCACCACCTCCTTCATTTGCACATGACTAATTCAGAGAATTAGGATTGGAAGATAACCATTGAAAAGTGACTTTGACTTGGTAACTTAAATGACATTTAACTTAACTAGGGTATATATCGTGTTAAGATATTGATGAGACAGATAATTGAAATCCTTTTCTGAATAACTCTTTCCTACACATTTTATGTGTTATGATCAAGGAATGAGATTCTTTTGTCGCAATCATCAGATAAAAGTTTTTAACCCCTTAAATCTCTACTACTGGAACATTTTTTATCCTATGAATAACGCAGTTCCAAAAATGCTTATGAAAAAAGGAATCCAAAATTTTAATTGTAATATATGCTCTCTCTCTCTCTCTCTCTCTCCAATACGATCTGTCTCTGAAAAAGATTAATGGGGATCTTAGGACCCTTGCAAATAAAAAGACGACATTCAGATTGTCATATTCGATTCTTTCCTCATACAAATTGGTTTTCAATTGTTCAAAATCTCTCGCCGACCTGGTGCATGTCGATTTTCCATTGGCCAGTGGCCTCATCCAGATGGTAGAGGACGTAAAATCTCTAACCATCGACTGTAACGTCGTCTTTGAGAATTGGCATTGGAATTTAAATGCTTGCACAGAAAATCAAACGATTATATAAGTTTAATTTGAAATACCAGGTAAATGCTTGGGAATATCTTAAGCATATTTTTTGGGTGATTTTAACAAGAATTTTTGCAATGTATATTTTAATGCCCGTATTTGTGTTTAACTTTGAATCATGTAGAAAATTTGAAAGTGTGCTTGTTGGTGGACTCTTTATTGAATTTGATCTCTTTGCTCTTCAATTTAAATTCATTTACTTCCATTTACCTTTATCCGTAATTGCAAAAAGAAAAAAAAAATGAATCGGTGAATCGTACAGTGTAAATGTATCTAGCCATTTAAAATAATAACAATAACGAATTATTTCATTATTAACGTATAAAACTTAAATAACCACATAAATAGTTAAGACTGAATTCTCTAAATATCAAGATATGATACGATGTGTTTTCATTTCTACTACAAAATTTGCAGAGATTTTTGAGATAGGATGTTTTGACTATAAATTTTACCCGAACCTTGTTTTATATATACATAGACTATTTTCATTTTGGTAGAAATATTTCAACAAAAAAATCAAATGACATGTAAAAAAAAAAAAAAAAATATCGTGATTTATTTTAAACTTATTTGGAGTTAAAAATTGCGAAAATCGGATAGCGGCGTAGGTCAAAATTTTCGTAATTTACAATCAATACACTAAATAATGTCTGTAGTCATATCTCTGTCAAATCGCGCAAAAAAAGAAAAATCTTTGACGTTCAAATTAAGAACTGTTACATCGTTTCATATTCCAGATTATGACTTAATATTTTACTTCGTTAAAAAGAAATCAATTTTAGAAGATGGGTAGTCCTCAAAAAAAAAAAAAAAAAAAAAAAAAAAGATGACGTCGTAGAACGTTACGGAGCAACAGTTAATGATACAATTTTGTGTTGTACTCTGGAAAACTGCAGAAAAAAACTGAAAATGCTGGAGGAAGTAGGAAATATGTCAAAAGCGAGCAATGCATGTGTGTATGCAAGGGACAGGCGGTATTTGAATGATAGAGACCCTGTATCAGACCAGCACGA